GGGTTTTGTCATGTTGGCCAGGCTGGTCTTGAATTCCTAACCTTGTGATTTACCTGCCTCAGCCTCCCAAAGTGCTGAGATTACAGGAGTGTGCTACCACGCCTGGCCTCTTACCTAATTTTAAAAGGTAAGTAACTGTGCCATGTAGTTTAAATTCATACATACTGTCATAGTTTGATCAAAGGTAGTATCTTCAGGTCTTGAGATCTTCTGAGGATCCTCAAATGTTTCATTTAAGTCATTTATTCTTCACAATAAGATAGTTATAATCAGTTAATTACTGTAAAGAGTGGCCATGTACAAACTCCTATTAAAAAAGACCACCAAAATCATGCATTGACTATTAATTTAGTATTTTAATGTATTCTGTGCACCACCCAAACAGTCAAGTTATAGAGTCTTAGAGATACTCTAATTAAATGAGGAAACTGGAATCTAAAAAAAGAGAAGTGATTTGCTGAGAACATATAGATAGTTGGAAGAACCTAGAGTCTCTTTGATGAGGCTTCTTCCACTACTACACCATGAAGCTCTGTACACATCAGCTACTTCTTTCATTGTCAGTGAATGAATATATCAAGGTCTGGTTTCTGGGAGAAGCAAGCAGATCTTCATAACCAGGATGGACTCCTCTTAAAACCACCGTTGGTGTCCGTTCCTGGCCATGAACCACTTGACAGCTTATCAGCTGGTCCCCAAAGAACACTAAGAACCAAGAATAAGATGAACTATGTGGGGTGAAACTCTTACTCCAGATAATATATAATCCCTGCGTCCATCCTGCAAGACTGTGAGAACGACCTTCTTTACAGAAGAGATGTTTAAGTCTTAGCCCGTAACTAGCAATAATGTTTGAGAAATTTAAGTAAAGAATCATTGCTGGAGGAAAGGCAGAGTATTGGCCTATGTTTGCATATTGACCAGATGCAAGGTTATATACCATGGATCTGGTTATATACCATATAACCTTGGACAAGGTTATATACCATGAACTCGAGACAGGTGTGCAAAAAACAATTATATCCTGATTTTGTGATATGTAGTTTAATTCCAGCATGCTACCTCGACAGTCTTCCGTCTTATTGATTTATGGTCATCTATATCAAGGAGACAGAACCAAAAGTCTAAAACTGTCTGACTGATCTAAAATTAATTAGAATTCAAGGTGGGAGTTAATAGCAAAACCTATTAAAAACCTACCCAGAGACATACAGGAAGGGAAAAGCACATGTTAGTATCAACATAGTTTGTGTCAGCCGCATTAGAAATCTAATTCAGACATGTTTTTATCGCATGGACCAACCTCTAAATATTATTATATCCCCTTCAAGCCCAAGGCAGTCGCTATTTCTTCGATTTTGTTAGGAAATGGCATTTTCCTAGTTTAACCATAGGCAAGTTACAGGCTTAGCATTCAGGGTAGGGCTTGGCAGCCCCTAACATATGGTATGTGATGTGTTGCCCTATGTGCTGAACAGCATAGCCGCAATAAAAGGTAATTTGGAGAGAATCCATCACACTTCAGTTGGAAAACAGATTTCTGTCTGTTGGAACTAAGGTTAATGGTTTGGATTTGCCTGTGTTCCTACGGTATTTTTTTTTTTCATTGCTTTTGAATTGAAAATAAAAACAGACCAAAGGCCTGATGTCTAACCCAAGTAAATAAAACCGATGAGACACAAAGTAGCCAAAAACATGTTTTATCTACATGACAAGCTAGTCACTTCAGCTGTTAACTTTTAGGAGATTCAAAAAAAGACATCTGAAAATTGGAACCTGTCATTATAAGTAAGAATCTTCATGCAACATTCATATTAATAGGCTACTGATAAATGGCTTCAGGGAGAGGAAATCCCTGCATACCCAGTATGCCCTCCATGTCAGCCTAAAGGACTGGTTTGGGTGCTTTGCATCCCCAGACTCAGGAGTCTTCCATTTTAAACCTCCTTTCCTTCTGGTGCAGCAGCAAAGGTGCCACCCAGAAAGCCCAGAGTTCGTGAATAGATATGGGGTAACCAGGAAGTCCAATGTGCAATGTACCAGGTGCCAGGGGAGGTAAGGAGGCGTGTGCTACAGAACAGCTCCAGGTCACCTGTCCTTGTACCATACAGAGGGAATACCATCCCCTTAACTGCCCACCTCACGTGGCCATCTGTTCACCACCCGCAAGTGCTCCCAGCTATTTCAACTCAGAATAACATCTCAGGTGTTCCTCAGCAGCAGCTGAGCTGGAAGCTGCTTTCTCCTGCCTTGGACTCTTGTTCCTTTCCTTTCCTTGCTCCACTGCCTGACCTCAGAAAAGAAAACCAAACAGCATCCTTTTTTTTTCTTTTTGAGGCTGCTGCTGCCCTGTTTCTATTAACTTTTAATAATGAACTACAAGAAACCTTTAAGATTGGTCTCGCTTTGCTTTTACTCATCAGTCTGTGATAGCTGACTGGGCTGCATGAATGTGTGATCATGAATGCACATAGCAGCACAAATCCAGGAGGCTGGATTCACAAACTGCCCATAAGTTCTTCAGTCTTTGTTCTCCTGATACAGGAAACAGCATTTGCTAAGAACCTGCTTCAAAGTTTCTGAGCGCAAGGAACAGGGCCACCTGAAATGAACTAAGAGGAAAGAAAACCTTCAGGCTTTTCAAGCTTCCCAGAAGGGCCATGTAGTATGGATTGAGAATGGGCTCTGAAATCAGACTTCGGTTTGAAAATTTACATTCTGCAGACTAAGACCCTATCCAAGAGGCATAATACCACAATGTCACAGTTTACCATATCATGAAAGGGGAATAATGACATCTAGCCCATAATGCTTGCAAGAGGTTTGAATCAGAAGATACATGTCGCCTGTGTAGCATAGTGCCTGGCATGGAATAAGCAGTATTTGCCTACTTCATTAGTTATGAAATAATAATCAAATCTGCTTTCCATCACAGGCAGAGGGCAGAATCAATGAGACAGGCCTTCAGAGTCGACCAACTCCCTTTCAGAGAGAATGTGAACTGCTGCAAATGCAGTAGCCTTTGAGTAGTCTAAAAAACCTTAGCCACCGTAAAGCAGGCAAACCCATGGGCTGATATAAACTTCCATGCTGCACGTTTCTTCCCCACTGGACATTTACTGAGGAAGGATGGTGGCAATAGCATAGCAACAGAGAGGAGACTAGTCCGGGTATCGTACAACTACATACGTTGAGCATGTCTGGGACCTCAGGAGAACCAGAGCTGATAACATAACACCTCGTAGTCATTTAACGTTTACTGTTACTGGCTTTGAAAATAAGTTCAATTTGACAGTTATTAATATCTGCTATTAACCTACTGTGCAAGGTAACTGAAAGGTTGGTTTTTTGGGGGTTTTTTGAGATGGAGTCCCCCTTTGTTGCCCAGGCTGGAGTGCAGTGGCATGATTTTGGCTCATTTCAAACTCCATCTCCCGTGTTCAAGCAATTCTTATGCCTCAGTCTCCCAGGAAGCTGAGATTGCAGATGCTCACCATGTCTTCATTGTATTACCAAAGTTCATGCCTGGCTAATTTTGTGTGTGTATTTTTAGTATAGAGATGGAGTTTCACCATCTTGGCCAGGGTAGTCTCAAACTCCTGACCTCAAGTGATCTGCCCACCTTGGCCTCCCAAAGTGCTGGGATTATAGGTGTGAGCTGCTGTGCCCAGCCAGGACATTGATGTCAGTAACCAGGCATCATATAGACAAGAAATTTAATATGTTGCAAAATCTGTTTACATGCTTAATACAGGAAGCTATTTCAGATCCCACTCCAACTTTTTAATTCATCTAGCCTGCTTGGTTTATGTTGTGTTTCCAAAACAACAAAAGAGCCTCTCCTACTTTGTGCCAAAAAGTATCAAAAGCATTTTATTTACATGCAATATTTCAGCTTAACAACAGCACTCTGAAGTGAGCAGCACTATCCCTATTTAACAGATTAGGAAATTGAGGCCCAGCGAAGTTAAGTAATCTTCCAGAGACACACAGTCAGCTGTGAAGGCAGAATCTGAAGTCTCCTGGTTCAAATTTGCTCTAAACCCCTGTGTTCTACTCATCAAGAAGTCTAAGTCACTGTTGTTCAACCTTCTGTAGTGGACCAAGATTTTTGTATCATGAGAAAGATACACTCAGGATTATTAGTAAATAGGGGCTTTGAAAATGGTCATTGGTGTCCACAGCACAATGAAAGGTAAAAGAGCAGAATGAGAAAGGATTAGCCTTGAAGACATGAGGCGGGAGCTGTAACCCTAATGTGTTTTTCCTAGTTGTGATTGTGCATCCACTACTTGTCATCTCCTTCCCTCACCTCATAAAATTACCATCACAATCAATGCAGTAATACGGCTGAATCTGCTTTCATAGTCGTAAGGATCTAAGCAAAGGTCAGCTATGCTATTATAGTTCAATTCTTTTCAATTCCACTATTGGCTTGCTCTTGAATCTTGAAAAATTTCCCCTGACATCTTCACTTTCTCATCTATAAACCAGAGCTGCTGATACAGCATCTTTTAGTAATACTCTCCAGCAGCTGCTTCCAAACTTTAGTGACCTAGGTCACTTAGGATATGGTTAAATCAATTCCGGGGCCGCTGTCATTATGACCAGCACAGCTGCATGGCACCTTGCAGTACTCACTCCTTAGAAGAACCTCACTTGATTCTGATGTAGGTGAGCTGTGACTACTTTCTGAAAAAAAAATGCTGCCCTGCAAACTCAGTATTACCAAGAACCACAGTATCTGTGGATACAGAACTTGACCAAGATCACTTTGTCAGTCCACAACACAGCCAGCACTGAACCTTTGACTCCCAATATCTAGATCCTATTCTTTCCATCCCATGAATCTGATTCAAAGGAACATCAAAGCCAGTTCTTGGTCACTGGGTTTACATCAAGGGTTGGATCCTAGAGTACACAGCTAAAGCTTGCAGCACTCTAAAGACATCTCTGAAAGGTTGATTGAGTGTCATTGACTTTCTCTTCTTCCTCTGCAGACACATTTGCCAGCAAAGTGGCAGCCACCCAGGACCAGTATGCAGACGCCTCCATAGGTAACGTCACAGGCAGCAACGCGGTGAACGTCTTCCTGGGAATCGGTGTGGCCTGGTCCATCGCTGCCATCTACCACGCAGCCAATGGGGAACAGTTCAAAGTGTCCCCTGGCACGCTAGCTTTCTCTGTCACTCTCTTCACCATTTTTGCTTTCATCAATGTGGGGGTGCTGCTGTATCGGCGGAGGCCAGAAATCGGAGGTGAGCTGGGTGGGCCCCGGACTGCCAAGCTCCTCACATCCTGCCTCTTTGTGCTCCTATGGCTCTTGTACATTTTCTTCTCCTCCCTGGAGGCCTACTGCCACATAAAAGGCTTCTAAAGGAACTATCAGATATAGTAAATTTATATATATATATATATATAGACATATATATATACATAAAAAATTATGTATAACGAACAGAGGAAACTGACATTTGTCATGTTCACTTACCTGCTGATGGAATCCAGCTTCAAGAGCATAACTCTCTGTACTAGGGCCGAAGTCAAAAACGATCACCTCCCATTCCCAGAGGCATCATCATGTTGAACAAGGCACGGAGGCAGGGCCATCTTTGCAGCTCGGTCTAGAAGGGCTGCACTCTTTCCAGGTTCATAAATCCTTAAGGCTTTGATTTGTTTTCTTGATTTTGATTTTGTTTTCAGAGGGGCTGGGGAGGTAGTTGATGTTTGGCTTTGTTTTTGTTATTTTGTTGTGTTTTGTTTTGTTGGGAGGGTCAGGGTTGTTGCTTTTCTTTGTGGGAAGTGAAACCATCCAAATGTAAATGGGTTTTTGGTCAAAATCTAAATCACTGAGATTCCCCCTCACCTCCCCCAACCACTTAAAAAATTATTTTGGATTAAGAAAAAATCTGGGCATGGAAGAAGAAAGAAGCATGTCTTCATTGTATTAACAAAGTTCATGCTTATCTCCAGAATGTGAGCAGAGGTGAAGCTGCCTCCAAGAAGCATGAGAGCGGAATGGAGCCAGGAAATCTGATGTTTTTAGATGTAGGCTGACATTTAAGGATGTGATGCCTGGCACTCTTGTTTAACAGGTACAGGGAAAATGTGCCTAGAATCCCAGGAACATGCAAAATGCTTTCTTTCTCATCTGTTTAGCTCTGGACTGTGATTAGCAAGGCCCTTCTTCTAGCATCCAGCCCAGCTAAGCCCCCATTTGCCCCATCCCTGCCCTGTTCCTCCTGTCCACCTGCCATCCCCTATGCAAACAGGAACAATAACCCCATCCAAAAACCACATCATCCTTCTCCATTTGCATTAATACATGTCCCAGTCCCATGTTGCTGTTGCTTGGGATTGTCTTGTCAGTTTTATTTTCAAAGGCATCCATGGCTTGCACCATCCTGTTCCAGTCATGACTGAACATTTGCTCCTTCTACATGTGCCTGTTCGGAAATGTTGTGATACCTGTTACACAGTGCATGGATGAAAAACAAATAAAACAAAGCGTATCTGTATATAGTAGAGTACATACTGTTCTCCCATTCGGCAATGTTGATTGGACATTGAAGACATAAGTGAGTTTTCTTTTCACCTGAGTTGTTACTTTTGTGTTGTTATTGAGTTTGATTAATTACTAGGGATAAAAGGAGAAAGTGGCTTATTGTTCAAGGTTCTGCACATTCATTTCTAAGAAGCAATAACTGTCATGTGGGGTAAAGTTAAAGTTATTGAGAGGATAGCAGGCAAACTTCAAAGGGCTTGGTGGAAAATTAGCCATGTGGAACACATCAGAGGCCTCTAAAAAGCACTCATTCATTCAGGAAGGCCAAGGAGAGAGGCCTTAAAGAGATGTGGATATGTTGCAGGTGCCTAGGCTTTCCGAGCCACCCTTTCCACAGCACCCCTCCCTGCAAAGTATTTATTTCACATCTGCACTGCCCGGCCAAGATGGTAGATAGTGCTGGTTTGTTCATTTTATTTTTTTACATAAAAAGTATTTTGAGCCCTGTGTCTTTCACTGTCCCGTCTAGTTCCCTCTGATTATATCAGTAGTTCCTGAATAAGAAAGAAGCCAGGGTGACCAATGGGCCTTTAAAAGTGTGTCTCCTTTACTCACGATGAAAGAGAAGGCAATTAAGTAAGAGTAGAACCTCCCAGGAGGATTAGACTGGGATGCTTTTAACCCTTTAAAAAGAATCGCTGTTTCTCTTTTAAGACACCAAAGAACATGGATAAACCCAACATTCCAAAGTAGTGAGTCCACTAATGAGAAAAAGATATAATGACTTTGGTCACCTCTCAGAGACTTCTGTGTCTATAAGGAATCCCGGGCTGGAGAAACCCCCAGCCCTCTTAATACTTAATAAATTAAAGCCATTGAGACTTATTTTTTCTTCTTTCACTCAGTAACCATGATTCCTCATCATTTACTAGACATTTATTTGGTGACTGAATGAGTAATTAAGTGCTGGTTACCCACTCAATGTGCCAGGGAGTATGATACTTTCTGGGGACTATGCCATGAACAAAACAGTCTAGATCCCTGCCCTCAGAAGGTTTACAGTTAATGTGATTACCATTTTCATGAGTAAAAGTGAAGAAAGCCATATGGAAAGATCTTTATCTTGCAAGAAAGAAACAAAAACAATTATGAAACTCTTTTAACATAAACACACTGAAACGTTATGAAAGCAATTTTCTAAATTGTATTTATACCCAAGATTTTCTTTAAGAGAGCATGAAATGTAAGTTTGGAAAAGCACCCCCTTTACCCTTGACCCAATGCACATCTCTCCATTTGAAGCCGAGAAGGGCAGTCGTGTTGGTGATCCAGATCACTGAGAAGGCCCAGTTTAGCCCATCTTACATCTTTGTTGGCAGTAATACTTTTCTGGGGCCCACACCTTTATGATTCTTTATCTGTCATTCTAAACCATCCTTCCCATCCTTTTTTTTTTTTTTTTTTTTTTTGAGATTTTCTAAATGGAAAGCTAGCCTAGAAGCACCAAGTAAATATACTCAAGGAATGTAAGTTGTTTAAACATTAGAAAGATTTTTGCACTCATTTTTTAGCTGTATTAGGAATGTCAATAATCTTGTAGCAAATTTTCACAGAGAACTTGAAGAAATTCTGGCATTGGTCAATTTCCATTTGAAAGCTTTTTGGTTTGGTTGCTTTTTAAATTTTTATATCCTAGGAAACTATGATTCTGGTTGTTCCGGATTGTTATTATTATGGTTGTGTAAAATTTTATTTTGTTTGATTATTTTATTTTGTGTGTATTGTGCACAGCTTTACGGGGGAAGTGCACTAATTGTGCTGTTCCTTATAAATGGTACACATTACTGACACAGACAAATAAAGTTTCTAATTGTTTCTGATTTCATCACTAGTGATACAGCATATTCAGTATGGAATGTTTTCTGTCTTCTCATTGTCATCTACTTCATTTTTTGTTTTCATGTTTCAAAGAAATAAAAACCAAAATGTTATTATTGTGCAATTGGTATCATCATCCAAAGAAAGAAAGCAGACACCAAGTATTCAACGTCCTGCAGATGTCAGCCCTTCGGTCATGCAGTGTTCTCTTTTTAATGTCCCAAGAGAACACAGTGTCAGAATATTTGTCTGTCCTACAGTGCTGAGATAAATGTTGGACGTTCCTCCATTTCACTAATTTTTTCATATTTAGTAAAACTACGCCCTTTCCTGCATCCAAGATCATGAGCCCATAAACATTTACAAGTCACACAACTTTTTAGCATGCAGAGTATTACATCAAATCAGTCAATCCCCAAAAATTCCAATCCCAAAATCGATGGTAGTAGAGTTCCTTCCTAAGGGGATGCTTAAGTAAATTGCTCTTTTAGTTTCATATATTATATTCCTCTTGATTTGCAGAACCTCTGGCTTGCATTAATAATTTGTCTAAATATATGTTATTGACTTTGTGTATCATACAGTCAAAATATATAGAAGGAAGTGACATCAGAAATGGAGTAAGTATTTGTGGGGAAAAATGTTACTTCTAAGGTTTGTGTACTTATTTGAAGTTGACATTAATATTAGTGGACTGAGTTCTTACTATAATAGAATCTGTCCACACATATTAGTAAATGTTACTTTATTCATCTGATCATCTTTAAAATTTTCTTTAGAATTCCTCATTATATTCTATGGTCATATGTGGTATACTTTCATGTATGAATGAAGGCATTATTTAAATATTTTTAGTATCAAGCTATCAATATGTCTCTTGAGTACCAGCCATTGGTTTAACACAAAATGAGCGGCCAACATCTGTTTCTTTAAACAGCAAAAAGAGTAATTCAATGACCAGAGTTCCTTGACCATCTAACAACCTTTCAGAAAAATTCTATGGCCCAATAATTTTCAATTTCTTATAAGTACATTTTAATGTGTTCCAATTTTCTAATTTCTTCCTTCAACTAGTGTGGATTTTATAAAATTTTGCTTTTTGTGGTTCATAGCCTAACAGCACTAATTTTTTTTGCTTTTTGAATATAAAATTCAGTTATAAAATATTCTGTTTTAGAAACCCTGAAAAGATTCTGATGCATGCCTCTCCCCTATAGCCTCACTGTTAATGAAAGCTCACCACATTCATTGATGATTCTACAGCAAAAGGTCCCTGATCCTAACCTGTCAAAATAAAGTGAGACTGACATACATCTGATAACTTTGTGGAAGCAATTAGAAAATTTTGTCCAGTAGATGATGATGCCCTCCATCCTCTAATAGTGGCAAAACTTTACCTTCTCAAGAATATAAATCAGTCCCTTTTAAGACTTTTAATATTTCTGGGCTTGGGATATGGAGTCTCTCTGTTGATTCTGACTTTCTATGGTTTTGGCAGTTGCATCCAGAGCAAGTTCTGAGCGTAGTTTCATAACTTCAAGAACATTTGGCCATTTTATGATTGAAAACATGTAATATTGGATCTCACTCTGACTTACAACTGGCAGTCAGCTTTTTATCACAGTAATCACTTCGCTTGGCCAAGGCAGTTAGTAAAACTGAGCAAAGTTAAATGTGAATTCTAAATAAATTGGTGAGTACATTATACAGAAGATACAGAATCCTATTTCAGAAAAAGAAACATGCTTTTATGAGTAGATTCCTTAGATTTTGTTCAGATCTACCTATACAGTTTTGCTAATAGAATGCAGTTCTGCTATTCCTTTTTACCATTATGTACTTACCACTTCTAACCATCTCATTATCTTCCCATCATGTACTACATTTCAAAAAGTTGGGCAGTCCTGATGGTATTACACCCTCAAGGACAGCATGGGAAGGGTAAACAGTTGAAATAGACATTTCATATTGGGAGGCTAATTAGGCCATGATTAATCATCTCTCAAAGCAGAGACTGTCTTAACTATAGAAGGAGCAGCCACTGAGAGGTGGAACTCCCAAAGGAAAGAGCGCTGCAGGTTTCCATCCCCAAAGAAATGGTAAGTATTTCACTTTCTTAGACTTTGTCCCTGCCTGTCAAGATGTCCACATGCACTCAGAGGCTGTCCACATTATCAGTTTTCTCAAAGGTTCTCTGATTTAATCTTGTAAGGAACATTTACATCAGTGGTTATATAAATTATTATTTATTTATTTTTAGGGAAGAGCATTACTTTGTAACTTCAAAAAGCAACATGACTTAGTAGTTAAAATTATGACCCATATTTTTTCAAGAAGACTTGCTTGCCCAAAATCATCTTGTCTATCTGCTATCAATGCAGTCATTCATAGCTGCTCCGTTAGCTCACATTTTTTAGGATCATGCTTCCGTATCCTTTTTCAAAGAGTTGGAGAGTTTTCCCATTGGGAATGTGCAATCTTAATCTTTCCTTTTTCTAATTTCAGCCTTTGAAGTTCTTCAATGGCTACTCCCATTATATTTAATTACCCTTAGCAATGCTCACTATTACCTCTCGGCAAGAGGGAAAAGGCTTATGCTAAAAAATGATTGCTCAAGGCATGTTTTTCTGAGAGTGAATTAATCATAGGAGAAATCAAATAAGATGACATTCCACCTAGAAAACACTCACTAGAACATAGTATGGTATCTTTATAAATGTGCAGGACATATTATATACTACAGTTACACACTAGTATTGTTGATTTTATACCTCTTGAATCATATTAATGATGCTTCAGTGCCCATCTACATATCCTTTTATTCTATCAGTATAGGTAGGTGTGGATGGATAATGAAGCCCAACATTTACATCCCCAATGCTCATGAGAGTTTCTACAAAGGTGGAGTATGTAAACATAGAAAAGCATAATATATAGCTTCCATGCCTCTAGGAAAAATGAGTGGGTCAAGTGCTTCTCTGTGCGTAATTTTCTGATATGCAAATGGTAGAAAAGTTCACATTAATAGCCAAACACACCAAGAGAGAAAGTAGCTAACTTCAACATTAGTCTGTCTATTTTAACAGCTAATACATAACCCATAATTTTTGGCTTTAGCAACCAAAGAAAAGTATGTTTCGGCACACGTTTCCAAATTATTGAGGAATTCTGTAGAATTCATTGGACCGACATAGGTATCTCATAAAAATTGCCTTCATTAAATTCCTTTTCTTTTTTAAGTCATTAAGCTTGTAAATTTTACAACTTGACAGTTTAGCAATTTTATTTATAAAAGGCTGATTCCATTTTGATGTTGGTTTTTACATTTCAGATTTTTCATATTTAAATAATGGATACATTAGATGCGATACTGAGCTGGAGTCTAGCCCAAATAAACCACAAGGCTCAGACAGATCTAACAGTAGTTAGAAAGCTTCTGAAACACTGGCTTTTTAATGCACAGCAGATACTAGTGTTGTTTTCAATATTCTTTCTACCAAAAGTTGACATTGCAAGTGGTGCAAAAATTTTTTTAGAAGATTTATAATGATTGTTAGAAAACTTTCTATGAGAATCAGACATTGTTTCAGCACTAGATCCCCTCTATCCCATCTCTTGCTAAAACATACAGCACAGACACAGATGTAAAAATAGGTGATCTCTGTAAACTTGAGCTGCATTTTTGTATGTCTACGATTGTCCTAAAAGCTCCTATCTGGTTAGTGTCAGATAGCTTTTGAAAGAGTTGGAAAGGCATGGAAGGAAGCATACTCCTGATTTCCCCGCTTTTAGCTAAAGATACAAAGTCAAAGGTGTTTTATCAGGGCTTAGAATAATCTTGACTAAACATATCCTTCTATAATACAAAGAGAAGTATGTTTTTTTGAAAAAAAAAATTATTTTCCTTTCTTTTGTAGCAAGCATTACTGACAAAAAAAATATTTAGGGCCAATTAGAGTTTATTTCAGACTTTTAATCACCCTCTGCCTTTTGGGGAATGTTGGAAAAGCTCTTGAAAAAAATATCCTGGTCAAGGTCAAATCCTGGGGGATTAAAAACATAAGATCTCTCCAAACATAGTACTGAGCAGACAGGTTCCCATGCCCATTATTAATCGGCATTTTCTAAACATGTGTTTTAGTGCGCTGGGAGCAGAGGAGTAGGAGACCCACCCAGCCCCGCCACAGATACCAGGACATCTTTGACCACAGGGATCTTCTGCCATCCACAGTTAAGCTTAGATGTTCCCAGCTGAACTAACCTCCAATTGTCATATACACTGATCATCTTGTCCCTAGCATTTTCCCTCCAAGGTCCTGCTAATAGGCAAACTGGCCCTTTCCAACAGTTGGTACCTGAGATTTCTCAAAGCGCTCTTGTCAGAGTAAGGAGTGAGATTGTAGAAGGGGCAGTAATGTCAATGCCAAGTTATTGGAAACTACTTAACCAGCAACTCCATCATATATTGGAGCCCGTCTAGGAAACTTACCCTCAGAAATAGTGGAAAGACTTTGTTTTATTTCTATTTCATCAACAGAACTTTTGTAGTATTGACTCTCAGCAAAGGATAACATCATATAATAAACTTAACTACAACTGCTATTGTTACATTTAGAAGAAAATATTGTCTTTGAAATTTCAGTCCAAAACTCTAAGGAGAACAAGGTTTTCATTGCCATTGGTAATCCTGTAAGAAATTTGACACTCCAGATCTTACTTGAGGCAGATAAGTCTATGATAAATGTATAAATGAGACTTAAAATATTCTTGATATTTTCAGGTGGTTCTCAAAAATTCTGAATAGATTGTTTTTTTTTTTAAATGACAACCTTTCTTTTCAAAATGTATTGAAAAGTCTTCCAGTAACTGGTTGTTAAATAAGTCTAGCACCCAAAGAAGCTGTGAGCAGTTGGCTTTATCAGTGACTCTTCTTCTATGAGCTCTTTCCAGATTGGTCTCGAACTCCTGACCTCAGGTGATCTGCCCACCTTGGCTTCCCAATGTGCTGGGATTATAGCCATGAGCCACTTCACCCAGCCTGGTTGTTCTGACTCTTAATCCCTAGACACATTCTTCAGAAACAACCATAGAAAAGTAAGCAAGCAACAAC